CACACACACACACTATTGTCTATATCCAATTCTCGCCACCCCAGCCCCTTAGACAGCTTTCGGTCAGTTCCATGTATCCCGTTCCTGGGTTTATTTTGTTCATTAGATTCCACATATTAGTGAGATCATAGGGTATTTGTCTTTCTCTGACTGGCATAATGATCTCCAGGTCCATCTATGCTGTTGCAAAGGGTAAGAGTTCCTTCTTTTTCACTGCCTGAGTTTTTTCTATTATAGCAAGTCAGTTAAAGAATTGTAGCTATGTTTTTAGTTAGTGAAACCTTTCCAGCTATTCAGCAACCCTTTTGAGGGTGAACGAAAAGTCAGTCTTCTAAGTAATCTCATACTGCCAAAAACAAGGGTCTAAATACTATCTTGTGTTTATGTATTTGAGGTCACAGAAGAGGTCCAAAAGTTTAATTTGGCTTCAGCTCTGTAACTTGATTCCTTACTCCGATTTTGCTTTTAATATTAGAGATTCTTTCTAATGTTAAATCGTATGTCTTGTAATTAAAATTTTGAAGTCATGAAGAATATTTTTGCTTTATTTCACATGAGATTCTAAAGAGTTCCAAATAGGATACCAATCAACTATGAGAAGTATTTGCTGTACTTTCGAATTATAATCTAGGAGGTTTGACTATTTTATATATAATCACGTGTAATTCGGCAAGATTTTTCTTGAGCATAGGTGCTGTTTTTTAATTTATTTTTGTATTCTCTTGGGCATTCAATACCTATGTGTCTTGTTCTGTTAAAGTAATAAAAATGATGCTAAAGAAGATTTGCCATTGTTGAGACTGTGCATGGGTTTATAAAGGAGGGCCTCCAGGAAATTCTATATTTTTGGATCCAAAATCTTTGGTTTAGCACAGTCTCACTAGGGTGTAATGTTCTGGTACCTAACTTGGCAATAGAAATGGGTCAAACAGTGGTATTAAATCACAGCCTACCTTCAGTTAATATACTTACGAGGCAGTGATCTCTTACGTGTATCAACCTGATGGAGGCAAATCCCCAGAAATGAGTAAAACTTAGAGGAACTGGCTAAATTTAGAGGAAATTTTTAGTTATTGAGTCTGTACCTTATACCATCACCTATGCCTGAAATGTAGAGTCCTTAAGTCTAGTTCCTATTACTTATGATTGCTAGCTTAAAATTGTGTTCTTAAAGGTAAAGTTTTAAGATGATTTCAGCCCTAGCCAGTTTGGCTCAGTGGTTAGAGCATCGGGTGCATGGACTGAAGGGTCTGGGTTCAGTTCCTGGTCAAGGGCAGGTACCTCGGTTGCAGGCTCCATCACCAGGAGGCAACCAATCGATGTATCTCTCTCATATTGATGTTTCTATTTCTGTGTCTGTCCTCTTCCCTTCCACACTCTCTAAGAAACCAATGGAAAAAAGATGGTTTCATAGGAATAGTCCCTTTAAGTTCACACATGAACTAACTCCCAGGTAAGATGGGACTTTACTTTTTTTTTCCACTTCTGAGTCTTGTATTTAAGACACTGAACAAAGAAAGGCAGTAGACATTATTTAAAAGATATTAAGGTTCTTGAGTTCAAAGACTTCTGTCAACATGCACAATGTGATTAGTGTTAAAAGGCCTGTGATGGTTCTTGTATGAAGTTTTATTTGCTTAACTGTTTTATTGTATACTGAAGCTAGCTGATCTATAAGTTGAATAGAAATATCTAAAACTAGAAACAAATGCAGAACTTCTACTCTTAAGTCAACCTACTATTTAAATATTTTACATCATTGCCTATATTGCCTATCATTTTAAAACTTTTTAGTTACTATTTTACCTGCTTTTTCTTCCTATTTTACTTAGTTTTTATTATTAGCAGGACATTCCATTATATTGGCATGTGTTTATCTTTTATCCATAGTAGATAAATTTGCAATTAATTACTGCATTTATTTATTTAAATATTTTTTATTATTATTGCTATTTGGAGAGAAACATCGACGTTAGAGCAAAACATCGATTAGCTGCCTCCTGCACACCCCTTGTGGGAGATAGAACCTACAACCCAGGCATGTGTCCTAGCTGGTGTGGCTCAGTTTGTTGAGCATTGTCTTGTGAACCAAAGGGTTTATACTCTGGTTTCTCTTCAGATCTATAAATCTTTCACCTTCTACTGCCTGTATTTATATATATAGTCTAGAAATTTGAAGTATGTTAGATGTCACTTTCTTTTGTACTGAGGTTGCTTATTGTTATGAACCAGGAATGTGGTATATTGAATTCGTGGTTGGTAAGCTGATTTTTTTTTTAATCTGTTGTTCCTCTTAGGGAAGGTGATATTCAAGCATGAAGGTATGCCATGCACAGCCATAACTGAGATGCCAATGTAATTAGTCAACATAATAGAAAATAAAACGGAATCATTTTATCTTTTATTTGTAGTAAAGAGTTGTAGTAAAAATTAGTTCTAATAAAAATGTCTAACAAGATGTGGCCCAGCTGGGCATGGCTCAGTGGTTGAGCATCTACCTGGGATCCGTGAGATCTCACTCAGTTTGATTTCCGGTCAGGGGTGTGCAGGAGGCAGCCAGCTGATCGATGACCACTCTCCCATCATTGATGTTTCTGTCTCTCCCCCTCTCCCTTCCTCTATCTGAAATCAATAAAGATATATTTTTTAAAAAGAAAAGATGTGAATACATGTGCACAAAGTAAACATGGAAAAGTAAACAGCAATAATGTAAATATAATATATAGAACAGTGTAGCTTACTAATTGAAATGTTGAAATATAAGATTCTGAAGTCAGAAACAAATCTGTGTTGAAGAACTCGGTATAATGGTTACCTCTGTCAGCTTATTGGCTGGGAAAGGGCACGATGGAGTTTTTGAAGAGCTATAAATATTCTGTATCTTTACCTTGGATGTTATTACATAGGTATATACATACATAAAAACAGATCGGTAAGCAATAAATAAGATATACTTCAATAAAACAGTTTTTGAAAGGTTTTATTGATAATTTTGTGAGAGAAAAACACAAAAAAAGTCAGCCAGGCTGAAGTAGAATTCAGGAACTTTTATAAACGTGCAATTCATATTTCTTGCTTCTATGAAGCTGATAATTTGTGGACTGTTGATTGAGATAATTGGATTTTAACAAATACTTTGTGATATCCCCTTGCTATGTAGAAATAAATTCATATAAAATATAATCACCTGTACCACAATTTTTTTAAGTCAGTATAACGTCCTAACTAATATAAAGTGAAAGTAAACTATATTTCCATCTAAATGATCAGGTACAAGTATACCATAAATCATAAAATCAGATGTTTGCATCTGTCTGTAAATAGAATCATTGTGTAATTTGCAAAGTATATCTGCTACCAGTATAGATGTGTACATTGGTGACGGATGCTGTTTTCTTGACAGTGTTACGGTTTCTTTCCAAAATTGTAGACAACTGTTGATAAAGTTCTGAATAATCAAAATTTTCATGTTGGGTTTTTTTTTTTTTTTTAATCCTCACTGGAGGATATTTTCCCATTGGTTTTTAGAGAGAAGAGAAGAGAGAGAGGGAAACATTGATGTGAGAGACACATCAATTGGTTGCCTCCTGCACACGCCCCAATTGGGGCTGGGGATAGAGC